GTTGTTCAATTTTAACAAAATTTGATATAAACATATAAAGTGATATGAACTTTCAATCCAACGGTTGGATTTACAAAATTCACATTTAATATAAGATTATTAAGCGGTGTAATACTTAGTAAAAGTTACACCAGTGTTATTATAACCTTTCTCATTTTAAAATATATAAATTATTATTTAAACTTTTAAATTTATAATAAATAATTTAAATTGTGTCATAATATTAATTTTAAATAGAAATAAGTAGATTGTTAATTATAAAAGTAAGTATATATATAAATAAAGATTAATTAAATATAATATAATTATTATTAGTAATATAATTATTATATATTTATAACGATTCGGACACACCGGAATGAGAGAGATCCAAAGATGTATAAGAATGAGATTGTATAGTTGAGAATGACTTAAATGAATTAATTTGTACCACTACAAAAAATATGTAATTTAGCAACCACCGAAATCGGTCGCTAAATTGCAAAAATCGGTCGCTATTTACCTTAGCGACCGAATTTAATCAGTCGCTAAGCTATTTAGCGACTGAAAAATTTTTGGTCGCTAATTCGGTCGCTAAATGATTGAAATCATTTTGGTCTCTGAAGTATATGGGACCAAATTAGTGACCGAATAAATCGGTCGCTAAATCGGTCGCTAAATTTTTATTTTTTATCTTATTAAATTTTATAGATGTCGCAAATTTGGTCGCTATGAACCACTCATATTTGGCCTCTTAAGGGTTTTATTTCACAATACTTAAGTTTTTACATGTTTTGTCCTCAATTATACAATTTTTGGAAACTTCCCAGAAGGTCACCCATCTCTACATTACTCCAAGTCAAGCACGTTTAACTGTGAAGTTCTTATGAGATAAGCTACCCAAAAGTAAATGCATGTTGTTAGTATAAGTAGTACAAATTAATTCATTTAAGTTATCCTCAACTATACAATCTTATACTTATATTATTTTTGGATCCTTATCATTTTGGTATATCCGGACCGTTATAAATATATAATAATATATATAATAATTATATTACTAATAATAATAATTATATTATATTTAATTAATCTTTATTTATATATATACTTACTTTTATAATTAACAATCTACTTATTTCTATTTAAAATTAATTTTATGATACAATTTAAATTATTTATTATAAATTTAAAAGTTTAAGTAATAATTTATATATTTTAAAATGAGAAGGGTTATAATAACACTGGTATAACTTTTACTAAGTATTGCACCGCTCAATAAATTTATATTAAATGTGAATTTTGTAAATCCAACCGATAGATTGAAAGTTCATATCACTTTATATGTTTATATCAATTTTTGTTAAAATTAAACAATAACGTAATAGTAATAAAAGTTCTCATATTTTATTTGAAATGTATATATTACGTCAATTTTATTTTACAAGAATGAAGTATCAAATCATCTTAAATTCATGTAAGATTCTGTATATATGATCTAAGAGTAAACAACTTTCAATCTAACGGTTGAATTTATAATTAAAATTTATATTTAATATAAAGTTATTGAGCGATGTAATACTTAGTAAAAGTTACACCGATGTTATTATAACCCTTCTCTTTTAAAATATTATTTTTATAAATTAAATTTTAATATTTTAAATAAATTATTAATTAACTTAATATATTTATTCATCTTAAATCTAAGATATAAAATTCAAAAAAAAATATATTCCGTTGCTAATTTTAACTAATATTTAGCAACCGAATAGAATTACATCGCTAATTGTAACTAATATTTAGTGATCGAATTTAATTCTGTCGCTAAAAAAATCAATTTCTGATTTAGAGACCAAATTCAATTCCGTCACTAATTTTAACTAATATTTAGCGATCGAATTTAATTTCGTCGCTAAAAAAATCAAAATTTCTGATTTTGCGACCGAATTAAATTCCTCGCTAAATTTAACTACTATTTAGCAACCGAATTCAATTTCATCGCTAATTTAACTAATATTTAGCGACCAACCAAATTCAATTCGGTCGCTAAAAAAATCAAAACTTTTACTTTAGCGACCAAATTAAATTTCGTCGCTAAATTTAACTACTATTTAGCGACCGAATTAAATTCTGTCACTAAATTTAACTACTATTTAGCGACCGAATTCAATTCTGTCGCTAATTTTCACTATTATTTAGTGACCAAATTAAATTTCGTCGCTAAAAAAAATCAAAATTTATAATTTAGTGACTGAATTCAATTTCGTCGCTAAATTTAACTACTATATAGCGATCGAATTCAATTCCATCGCTAATTTTCACTATTATTTAGCGACCGAATTAAATTTCGTCGCTAAAAAAATCAAAATTTATAATTTAGCAACTGAAATAGCGATCGAATTTAATTTTGTCGCTAAATTTAACTAATATTTAGCGACCGAATTCGATTTTGTCGCTAATTTTAACTATTATTTAGCGACCGAATTAAATTCCATCGCTAAAAAAATCAAAATTTATAATTTAGCGACCAAAATATCGACCGAATTCAATTCCGTCGCTAAATGTCCCAGAAACTGTGTAAGTAAGGACAAAACATGCTAAAAAGTGAAATATTGTGAAATAGAATCCTTGAGAAGAATAACAACCGAATTTGAGACCTCTAAAAAATTTAATAAAATAATAAATAAATATTTAGCGACTGATTTAGAGGCAGTTAGTGCGACGGGTGCTGTAAGAGTCGCAATTCCAATTTTGCGACGGTTTGTGCAACGGTTTCAGTAACCATCGCAAAATTCCTTCGTGACGGACATTTGTGCGACGGTTGGTGAACTGTCGCAATTGTGTCTTTGCGGCAGTTTTAACCATCGCAATGTAGGTCATATAACTGTCGCAAAATCGTCATTTTCTTGTAGTGTATTAAATAATTACTAGAGAGATCAATGCTACTTAGAAGATACTTAGGATTCCGAAACATATGTTATCGTCAATCATTTTTAGATGACATTTTTCACTTCATATCTCGATGTTGATAAAAATTTAACCAAGTTGAACTATGTAAGAATTTAACTAAACTATGTAAGAACTTAACTAAAAAAATTGTTTTCTTTTTTAGTAAATCAAGATATCTCTTAGCTGAAAGCTAGAGACTAATTCACTAAGGTACTAAAATCTATATAATGGGTTGACCTCCCTCAATAAATATTTATATTTTTCTATACAGACCAACAAATAGTTTTCTTGAAACTAATGGAATTGTTTTGTTTTTTTGAGAATTATTTTCTCAAATTTAAATGTTTTATGTCAACCTAAACCAAACTATTTTTTAATGCACTAATAAAAATATTTCATTTATGAAAATTTTGGAATTTACTATATATGGGAGCATATCAAGTGAGAGGGAATTTATTATGAGAGATGAGAGGATTAAAATATAACCCTTAGATTAATCAAGTGAGATAAAATTTGGGGTTTAATCAAGTGAGAGGAAATTAATCTAAGGGTTATATTTTAATCCTCTCATCTCTCATAATAAATCCTTCTCACTTGATATGCTCCCTATATATATATATATAAGTAGAAGATAACATTCATCTTACAAGTCCCACATCGACTAGAAATAAGGTAATTAAAAAAATAAGAAAATTAAAAAGAATATATAAGTAGAAGACAACTTTCATCTTACAAGTCCCACATCGACTAGAAAGTAAAAAATGTCACAAAAAGTTATACACTTTTTTATCATTATAAGGGTTTTTACCAACATTTAGAATAATTGTCGCTAAATGTTTTAGCGACATTGCATACAATAGCTAATGTAAAAATGCTGGTAAAAAAATTTATATCAATTTTTATTGCCACTAAAAATTATATTAAATGCCACTAAAATTCTATTTTGTTGTAGTGTGCATGTTTTTAAAATTATTTTAACCTTATAATTACTTCAAACAACTTCCATCCTCTTATTACAAACTACTAAGTATTATTTATTGTATGTTATTTTTATTTTTTTATGTTTAAAAACTTATATAAAGACATCAAGTATCTCATTGAGTTTTTATTATTAAAATATGAGTCTCCTTCAAACGATATTGTGAAAACATTACGTATACCGTATGGTGCCGAATACCCCGAACACCCGAGAAATCAGCCGACCCCAAACACCCGAGGACTTGGCCGACCCGACGATCCAGTGTATCACCCGAGCCCACCGACCACTATTGTAACAATAGTGGTCGGTGTGCTCGACCAAGTCACGAACCGATCCCAAAGCACTATTACGGAGATTAATTAACGTAGAACGTCGGTTTAGTCTCCTAATTTTCCGGGGCCCAACTCCTAATCGTGGCCCAATAAGAAGCACTATAAATAGACCAACTCTGAAGGTATATAACTTAACTTTAACTACCGCATTTATTACGCCGAGCATTGACTTGGGCGTTGGAGTGTCTTTGCAGGCACCCTCTACCCCTTCGGACTACCCGGATTAGACGAGAAGACCGTGACCCTAGACCCGACCCTAAACCCGTGATACAGCCGAATACTAATCAAACCCCACCTAACTTCCAAGATGACTTACCCCAACTGCGTGAGGAGATGGCGGCCATCCAAAGGCAAAGAGAAGCCGATTCCCGAGAGCTGGCCGAGCTACGTCGACAGAACGCCGAGCTCCGGAACCTGAACCAAACCTATGTGCCGTCAACTCCCACACTCGAAGAAGAATCCACCTATCACGCCCCAACCGACCAGGTCACCCGAACTCCGGTCACATCTTTAATAGCCAACAAGGCCGACACCACCGTCCACTCCCTCAGACATCCTTTTTCCAGAAGGATAATGGACGCAACCCTGTTGGATCATTGGAAGAGCATGCCGATCGAGAAGTACAATGGATCATCCGATCCCGAGGAGTACTTGAACGTTTTCTTGACTCAAGCAACTCTTTCCACTCAAGACGACTCGGATTTCTGCCGAATATTCCCGACGTCACTGAAAGGAAGAGCCTTAAGTTGGTTCACCAGATTGCCGAGCTCCTCCATTGACTCGTTCAACGAGTTGTCGTCCCAGTTCACCCTACAATTCGCCACGAGCAAGCCCTACAAGACGACCTCGTTAGCCTTAGCGGGGGTCCGTCAAGAAAAGAAGGAAAACCTGAGACGTTTCATGGACCGATTCAACAAGATTGCAATGGAGATTGGCGATCTCAATCCTGCCGTGGCGCTGGACCGGCTAAGCACTGCCCTCAGGTCGGGGCCATTCGTTAATAGCTTATGCAAGAAACCACCCGTTGACCTGAACGACCTCAGGCGACGAGCCGAGAAGTACATGCAGATGGAAGAACTTGCCGAGACTCGAAACCAAGCTAGGGCCGAGGAGGGCAATGGTCGAAAGGAATCTGGGCGAGAGCCGATGAAAGAGACTTATGCGGAACCGGCTAACACTCGACCCCCGAGAGGACCACGTTACAAAGCCTACACGCCCCTGAATGCAAGTAGGGCCAAGGTGATGGAGCAGGCCCTTGCCTCGGAAATCCTCGCAATGCCGAAACGAGCGAACACCCCTCCAAGGGCCGATAAGGCTAAGACGTGCCGTTTCCACCGAAATAGAGGACATTCGACCGAAGAATGCTCGACATTAAAAGACAAGCTTGAGGACCTTATAAAACAAGGCCACCTGAGAAATTTTGTTACCTTTCAAGACCAGCTGAGAAGAAGACATCCACCCCGCGAGGAGCACCAACCAAGAGACCGACGTCACCGATCCCGATCAGCCGAGAAGCAGGACCGATCACGGCACTCGAGGGGGGAGAATGACCGACCGAGGAAAGTAATCAATACAATAGTCGGAGGCTTTGCCGGAGGAGGGTCCACCTCTTTGGCATGGAAAAGATACCTCCGAGCAATGCGATCGGTTAATAGCGTGAACCAGCCGAGAAGGTCAAGAATGCCACCAATAACCTTCTCCGATCGAGATTTTCGAGGCGTCGATCCTGTTCAGGACGACCCCATGGTAATTTCAGTCGAAATGCATAATTGCATTGTGAAAAAGACCTTGGTCGACCAGGGGAGCTCGGTCGACATCTTATACTAGAACACCTTTGTACAACTCGGAATCCCGGAGGAGAGCCTAGAACCGTACCACGAACCACTGGTAGGCTTCTCAGGCGAAAGGGTGATGACGAGGGGAAGCATCGACTTATACACCCGGTTTGGCTTCGATCAAGGGTCTTTCCGAGACATCAAGATCCGATACATTGTGGTCCATGCAAACACGTCGTACAACATTCTGTTAGGCCGACCGTCAATCAACGCATTGGGGGCCATTGTTTCAACCCCACACCTATTCATGAAATTTCCGTCGAAGGAGGGACAGGTTATCACCGTGCACGCCGATCAAAAAACAGCGAGAGAATGTTACCTCTCTAGTTTGAAGGTGCAACCTATTGCCGACTCGCAGACAAAGACAAGAGGTGTGAATGTGGTTAGACAGGAGGTGACCGAGGGCATTGACCTAGATCCTCGGTTAGGAGAAGAAGATCGAGTCGAACCCGCTGAAGACCTCGTCCCATTTCAGCTTGGTCGAAAACCTGGGCAAATTATACACTTGGGATCCCAACTGACCGAAGTCGATTCAAGTCAGATGAGACGAGTGGTTCGAGACAATAGAGACCTGTTTGCATGGGTAGCGTCCGACATGCCAGGGATTGACCCCAAATTCTTGTGTCATCGATTGGCTGTTTGCCGAGATGCCCGACCCATTGCCCAAAAGAAGAGGAAGATGGGAGACGAGAAAAGAAAGGCCGCAAATACCGAAGTACAGAAACTACCGCAAGCCAAGTTCATCCGGGAGGTCGCCTACACCACCTGGTTGGCCAATGTGGTGTTGGTCAAAAAAGCAACTGGGAAATGGAGAATGTGTACCGATTACACCGACTTAAATAAAGCCTGCCCCAAAGACGCTTATCCACTCCCCTGCATTGACCGACTCGTCGACGGCGCGTCCGGGCACTCAATCTTTAGCTTCCTAGACGCCTACTCCGGCTACAACCAAATAAAAATGCACCCTGCCGACGAAGAGAAAATGGCGTTTATCACCGAGAGCGCCAATTTTTGCTATAAAGTGATGCCATTTGGATTGAAGAACGCCGGGGCAACCTATCAGAGGTTGATGGACAAAGTCTTCCAGGACCAAATTGGCCGAAACATCGAGATTTATGTGGACGACATGGTGGTGAAGTCCAACTCTTTGTCCGATCACGTGGCCGACTTGGCCGAAATCTTCGGTGAGTTGCGCAAGCACAACATGAGGCTCAACCCCGAGAAATGCACATTCGGGGTCAAGGGTGGCAAATTCCCGGGGTTCATGTTGTCCGCAAGAGGAATAGAAGCAAACCGAGACAAGTGCCAGGCTGTGCTAAACATGCGTAGCCCGGTCAACCTCAAAGAACTGCAACGATTGGCGGGACGATTGGTCGCCTTGTCTCGATTCCTCCCTTGATTGGCCGACAAGATCAGTCTGATGACAAAACTCATGCGAAAGGCGTCGGCCTTCGCGTGGGATAGACGATGCGAAGAGGCCTTCGAAGCATTGAAGATGACCCTAGCGACGCCCCCTACCCTGACGAAGCCTGATCCCCTGAACCCATTACTGATATAATTGGCCGTGTTCGAGGAGGCGATTAGCTCAGTTTTGGTACAAGAAAAAGAAGGCACCCAAGCTCCCATATATTTTGTTAGCCGACTGCTACAAGACCATAACATGATGAGGTACTACCACGTCTATCATAAGTTGAAGACGAACTTTCAGGAGGTATTGATCGAACAAATACCAAGAGAGGACAATACGCGAGCCGATCAGTTGGCTAGGTTGGCTGCGACGAAGAAGCCGGGCCAATTAAAAAACATCATTCAGCAAGAGGTTGACTGACCCAGTCTCGAAGAGGGAATGGTAGGGAATGTTAACACCGACCGTGCCGACCCCGATGAACCCACAGATTGGCGAGCCGAGATTAAAGCACTCATCACCAATGGGATCATACCTGACGACCCGGCCGAAGCTAAACGGCTGAGAACATAGGCTAGCCGAAACGTCATCATTGGCGGACAATTGTACAAGCACGGCTTCTCCACCCCATTGCTCAAATGCCTAGACCACGTCGAGGCCGATTATGTGATACGAGAAGTTCACGAAGGTATTTGCGGAATGCACTCAGGAGCGAGAACCACCGTCTCCAAACTCTTACGGGCTGAATACTATTGGCCGACCATGAGTACTGACTGCGCAACCTTCGTGAAGAAGTGCCAACCATGTCAGAGGCACGACAATTTGATCCACCAACCGGCCGAACAACTACATTGCATCCACTAGTGGAAAAAGGAGCTACTACGTCTCTTCATTTACGTCAGAAACTAGCACACCCGACGTTGTAAAAATGCGGTGGCAGTTTCATAAATAATAGGAGTTTTTTACGTCGAACAAAGATGGGTCTGACGTAAATGAGATAATTTACGTCTGACATTAAAGCAGCCGACGTAAATTATCTCATTTACGTCGGACTCATCTTTGTCCGACGTAAATAACTCCTTAAATGATGGGCGCGCAGTATAGATTTCAAATCGTGGCATTCTTCCTCATTTTCACGTTCTCCCGCGCGTTGTGGATTCTTCCTCATCCCTCCGCTTCCTCCTCAAATCGTGGTTGTCTTCCTCATCTTCACGTTCTTCTATTTTTCTTCTTCGAAGTTACGTTGTTTCTTCTTCGCGTGTTGATGGAAATGGCTTAACCATATATCCATCTGTTTTTCTATGAGGTAGTGACCACTCCTTAACCGATGTTTGTGTTTTCTGGGATGTATTTTTCATAATAATATTTGTGTTGCATTTCGTGTTTGTGAAGCTGCAGAAGGAAGTGACCACTGCCTGGGTTTATCCAGCAGAACGGGCCGTTCTGCTTGGAGAACGGCCTGTTCTGCTAGCAGAACGTCCCGTTCTCCATGGAGAACAGGCCGTTCTCCAAGCAGAACGGTCCGTTCTGCTTGCAGCGTTTTCTTATTTTTTTTTTAAATTTTTACGATTTTTTACGTCGGACCTTGGTGCGTCCGACGTAAATTTACGTCGGTTTTTGACCCCTGGCATAAATTTTATGTCTCCCGTAATGACGTCTGATGCTTTTCCGACGTAAATGGCTTTAAATACCCGACGTAAAAGGGGTCTTTTGTACTAGTGATCCCCCCCGCATGGCCGTTCGCCAAGTGGGGGTCCGACATACTTGGGCCTTTCCCGATTGCTAAGGGGCAATGTAAATTCCTCATTGTCGCCGTGGACCTTTTCACCAAATGGATTGAGGCTGAACCCTTGGCATGCATCTCGGCTCATCAAGTTCAAAAATTTCTATGGAGGAATATCATAACCCGATTTGGCGTCCCGCATACCCTAGTAACTGACAACGGTCTTCAATTTACCGACCGAAAACTCAATGAGTTCCTAGACGGCCTAGGAATACAACACAAGGTAACTTCGGTCGAGCATCCTCAAATGAACGGTCAAGCCGAATCCGCCAACAAAGTCATCCTAATAGAATTAAAGAAACGGCTAGGAGAAGCAAAGGGTGCATGGGCCGAGCAGTTACCCGAGGTACTTTGGGCCTACCGATGCACTCCCCAATCAACCACACAAGAAACTCCCTTTTGGCTGGCCTACGGGTCAGACGCAATGATTCCAGTGGAAATCGGGGAGCCTTCCTTCCGCCGAGCTCATTTTGACGAAGCGAATAATGAAGACGAGCTCAAAGTAAACCTGGACACCGTCGAGGGCATTCGAGACCGAGCTTAGGTTATAGCCGAAGCCACCAAACAACGCTACAAGAGAAGATTCGACAGCAGGGTGAATCCCAGAGAATTCCGAGAAGGAGATTTGGTTTGGAGGGCCATAGGCGACGCGAGAAAAGACTCGAGACAAGGGAAACTCGCCCCAACTTGGGACGGACCTTTCCGAGTATGACACAACCTGAACAATGGGGCTTACAAATTGGAGCACCTGTCAGAAGAACCAATTCCGAGGACTTGGAACTCTTCACATTTAAAAGTGTATTATAGTTGATGTATGTGCACTCTTTTCCTTGGCCGACTCTTTTTTCCCTAAGGAGGGTTTTGGGTCGGCAAGGTTTTTAACGAGGCACCATATTAATAAAAACAAATTGCATCACGATTATTTCAGTTTGTTAGGTCACACCTCGACCGAGCACTATAAGCGAACGCGACACGCCGAGCAATCTTCAACCGACCACTACAATATGTACACTAAAAGGCCTACAGGTTTCCCTCCCGAGAACCTCCTCGGCTAAGGATGTACCTAGACCGAGCACTAAATAATATCAAACGATTATGGCCGACCACTATAGTGGTGTGCTCGAGCCCTAAAGGTTTCCTTCCCGAGAACCTCCTCGGCTAAGGATGTACCTAGACCGAACACTAAACAATATCAAACGATTATGGCCGACCACTACAGTGGTGTGCTTGATCCCTACAGGTTTCCCTCCCAAGAATTCTCCTCGGCTAAGGATGTCCCTAGACCGAGTATCGCCCAAACTAAACACCCGTACCACACACGAATAATAAAAGCCGAACGTTTTTGCAGCATACACTCGCATCGTCAAAAAACCGAACACTCGCGGCGTATACTTGCATAATCAAAATGAACCACGTTTAAGCCGAACATGATCAAAATGTACATTACAGGAAAATTCGGTCCAAACACACGCAGGCCGAACATTAATTTACTTACTTGGTTAAAGAAAGAAGTCGGTAATTCCCAAACATTAACATCAAAAATCTTCATTAAGGTATGGCTGAGAAATACGGCTAATTACAAAAAATCCTAACTACCCTGGCACCAATGACCGATTACAAAAAGCAATGAAGGCCCGGTAATAAAAGTGACTACTCCTAACACTACCCCCACAAAATTCGGCCTCTCTTATGGCCCCTGAAGCCTCCGGGTTCCCATCACCGACGATGTCAATGATTGGATCTTCCTCTTCCTCGTTCGGTTGTACAGGAGGTTGGCTAGAAATACCTTGCCTAGGGGCGTCGG